GAACCCCCCGTTGGTATACCTCCCGGGTGGTTTTTCCCCCTACACCACGGGATGGTAGTACCTCCCTGGGTGGTTGCTGTCTACCAACCTACTACCACAGGATGGTAGTACCTCCCTGGGTGGTTGCTGTCTACCAACCTACTACCACTGGATGGAAAGTATCTCCCTGGGTGGTTGCTGTCTGCCAACCTACTACCACAAGATGGTAGTACCTCCCTGGGTGGTTGCTGTCTACCAACCTACTACCACAGGATGGTAGTACCTCCCTGGGTGGTTGCTGTCTGCCAACCTACTACCACAGGATGGTAGTACCTCCCTGGGTGGTTGCTGTCTACCAATCTACTACCTAGAATAATAATAATATTCATAATAATCTTTATTTCTACCAGTACATGATACAACTTATACAGACCATAGCTGACATCAGTAACATACTATATAGAGCATTTCCCACAACTTAGGTTAATTTTGTATCCAGGATGCCACCCACACCAGTCACCTAACACCCAGGTACTAACTGCTAGGTGAACACTGACAGCAGGTGTCTTAAGGAAACATGCCCAAATGTTTTCACCTCTACTGGGGAACGAACCACGGACCTGAGTGTGTGAGCTGAGTGTGCTCCCACTCTGAAGGATGAGTGAGGATGTTACACCTATTGTTACTCATCCTGCCTCGGTGGATAATATCCTGTATATAAAAAAATTAACCAAAATATCACCCATCACTGTACAAACATTGTATCATGCTGGAATAACATTATTATTATTATTATTATTATTATTATTATTTTTTCCCCAGGTTATTGTGTGTCAGAATGTGACCAGAACAGAAGGCATGACCCAGGGAGTGCTGGCACACGAGTTGATCCACATGTTTGATTACTGTCGCAACAAACTCGACTTCAAGAATGTGGAGCACTTGGCCTGTACCGAAATAAGAGCAGCCAATCTCACGCACTGTTCCTTCCTCTCGGCCATGTTCCAGGGCGATGCTTCGCCTTTTAAAATTGCTAAAGCACACCAGGTACACAAATTTTCTTTCTGCAGTATGCAAATAATATTAATAACCATCTTTATTTCTACCAGTATGTGATACAACTTATACAGACCAAAGCTGACATCAGTGATATACTGTATGAAAATCCCTGGTTATGCAGAGCATTATAGGCAAATAGGTTAATTTTGTCCCCAGGATTCGACCCACACCAGTCAACTAACACCCAGGTACCTATTTTACTGCTAGGTGAACAGTGACAAGAGGTGTCTTAAGGAAGCACATCCTAATGTTTGCACCCGTGCTGGGGATCGAACCACAGACCTCAGTATATGAGCTGAGTGCACTACCAACCCAACTGCGGGACACACTTATGTAGTTCACATGTAATAAAGTATTGTTAACCACAAAGAAAGCCACTAACATGCGGAGCATTTCATGCAGACTAATCCTAACGCTTACAAACTTCTACTTCCAAACTAGACATTGCTTAATACACAAATAACCTGCACATTAGGGAGAGAAGCTTACGATGTTTTGGTCCAATTTGGACCATTTATGAGTCACAGTGTGACTCGTAAATAGTCCAAGTCAGACTGAAACATCGTGGTAAGTTCCTGTCTACTATCTGCGGGTTATATATGTATTGTTCCAGCCACGTTATTGTGCCTTTTTCTTCTTAGAAAGAAGACTTTTTTAATGTACAAAAACATAGGTAAATCATAATAGTACAATTTTAAGTATGCGTTATTACTTCAAACCGATTCAGTAATCTTAAGTTAATTGGGATTTCTTGAGCGGTTTCAGACTGACTGTGTCATCAGTCTATGGAACAGTTACAAGAGATGAAGAAACAGCAAGTCTATTGGGTTTCCATAGAATTATAATGGAACAAGATGAGCAGTTAACTTGCTATGGAAATTTAAGAAAACTGGAAGTATGTGGAATGGAGTTAAAGGAAGATTGGAAGAACAGTGTTAGAGTTGAAGGAAGTCAGTGCATCATGGAGGACTGTCTGTCTTATTTCCATTGTAGTCTTTCAGTCTTGTTCCCCAGGATGCCACCCACTCCAGTCACCTGACACCCACGTACCTACTTACTGTTAGGTGAACATGGACAGCAGGTGTACAGTGACTAACACCCAGGTATTTACTGCTAGGTGAACAAGGACAACAGGTGGTAGGAAACACGCCCAATATTTCCCCCCCGGCCGGGGATTGAACCACAGACACTCAGTGTGAGGCAAGAGTGTTGTCAACTAGACCACGGGTATTTTTAACCATATTATTTAACCTTATGGTACAGAGGTCGGAAGACTTGACAGCACGAACGAAAAACACCTGAAGTACAGAACACCTGAAGTACTGAACACCCAAAATACTAAGCACCTTGTTAAAGTTCCACAGCTTGACTGCTAGGGTATATGTTATGCTCTGATTCATTTAAAATTAATTACTGTACAGTACTTGCAATGAGGTGGGAAGTATGTCAGTTGCTTTCTGAGGGAGGGGTTACAATGTTGCAGTTTTGAGGGTCACTGCGATCAGCACACTTCAGGCAAGACAGTTATTGTGTGAATAACAGTGAATGTGTTACTTTGTTTTATGGGTCACCCTTCCTATGTTAATGTTATCGTAGTTATAGAAGTACTCAGATTTGTTTATCTATTCCTATGGCGTATTATGGACTCAGCCTCGTGTGTGTTCCTGTAGACCAGGCCGCAGGGGGCATTGACCCCTGGAACACCCTCCAGGTGTTATACCAAATGCCTAGTACAGATATACCCAAGACAGACTTGTATATATAGCTATGACACTCAGATTCATTATGCATTTCTCACTATATATTATACCTAAAACTTGACAGGTATACTGTATTCTATGCTTTTCTTGAAGGTAAATAGCTGGCATGTTGAAAAAAAAATTTCTGCCAACACTAATCTCTCGTATTTACAGGATTGCGTCAAGACGAAAGCCGCCTTTTCGGTGATGGCCATACGGCGGATAGATGAAGCAGAAGCGAGAGCGGTGGTTGACAGAGTCTTCGATAAATGCTACAACGACCTTGAGCCCATTGGCAGACGTATAAGGAGAAATTCTCTAGACATGTACAAGGCTTACCAAGACCGTTACGCATTTGGATACGAATAACCTTTGTAAAAATGGTCGAAAGATCCATAGATGTACAGTCATCTGTTTCTTTGAACTTCCTGTATATATTGGGCTTTCAGAATTTGAACTTCCTGTATATATTGGGCTTTCAGAATTTGAACTTCCTGTATATATTGGGCTTTCAGAATTTGAACTTCCTGTAATATTGGGCTTTCGAATTTTTGAACTTCCTGTATATATTGGGCTTTCAGAATTTGAACTTCCTGTATATATTGGGCTTTCAGAATTTGAACTTCCTGTATATATTGGGCTTTCAGAATTTGAACTTCCTGTATATATTGGGCTTTCAGAATTTGAACTTCCTGTATATATTGGGCTTTCAGAATTTGAACTTCCTGTATATATTGGGCTTTCAGAATTTGAACTTCCTGTATAATTGGGCTTTCAGAATTTGAACTTCCTGTATATATTGGGCTTTCAAAATTTTGGGAACTTCCTGTATATATTGGGCTTTCAGAATTGAATAACACGTTCTTTGAAGGCTCTCTGTGGTCGATTATATTTTGAAATACCTTTTCAGTCCCGTTTAAGAGAAAATTGCTCTGTATAGAGGAACTGTATAAGAGAACTGACTGTTTTTATTAATTCTCAAATAAAAATGACAATATCTATATTTCCGGTCCAGTGCCATCTTTTGTTCCAATATTGAATATTATTGATGCGTAAATAATCTTTTTCGAAGGTAAATATTTCTGAAATATACATGCAGCATTGTATATATGTAGTGTGGTGGTTTTTAGAATTTATAAAGATTTTCTTTGACATAGATTTGCCTTTTTTTGTATCCATAGATTTCATGTCTAGTTTTAATTTAAGAATTATCCCTGCTAGGTAGGGAGACCCCGAATAGTGAAGTATATACAGTGGACCCCCGGTTAACGATATTTTTTCACTCCATAAGTATGTTCAGGTGCCAGTACTGACCGAATTTATTCCCATAAGGAATATTGTGAAGTAGATTAGTCCATTTCAGACCCCCAAATATACACGTACAAACGCACTTACATAAATACACTAACATAATTGGTCGCATTCGGAGGTAATCGTTATGCGGGGGTCCACTGTACTATTTACAAAATCCCCGCTGCCATATTTTGAGTTTCGTCGTTCTGTTTAGTAGTATAATGGCTCGTACCCTGCATATGGGCTACAATACTTCATAATTAACCTGGAAAGTCACAATACCATGGCTGGAGCATCTTGCCTTCTCTGCCTCTTCTCTCTCTTGGGGGCTCGCGATCTAGGGAATTGGATCTGTGCTCCAGTTACCCCGAATACCTTCCACCCCCCCCACAGGTGCCATATAATCCCTATGAGTTTAGCACTTCCCCATGATTATAATCATTATTTTTCTCTGCTGTGACTTTTCAATGGTCTGGAATTAACCCCCAAAAATTGTCAAAACTCTCATCTCTGAATTGTGGGTTATTAACATCCTTGAAATTTGTATCAGTAAGGCCAACGGAGGACAAAACATCTGCAAACAAAGATACCCAGATGTTTCACATGTGTCTAATACTTAAAGGTATTCTTAATACTAGCAAAAATTTGCTTTTCTGTTCACGTCCACCATGTAAATTCAACATTTATATTTATTCGGTAGTCAGTAAGTATATTCAGGTACACATAATGCAGGTACACATATTATCATACATGTGTGTCAGTTACCCTCCAGGATAATCCAGAAAAGTCAGACAGAGCGACTTGTTTCCATTGGGGTCCTTGACTTATTTTCACTGGGGTCCTGACTTATTTCCACTGGGGTCCTGACTTATTTCCACTGGGGTCCTGACTTATTTCCATTGGGGTCCTTGACATATTTTCACTGGGTCCCTGACTTATTTTCACTGGGGTCCTGACTTATTTCCATTGGGGTCCTGACTTATTTCCACTGGGGTCCTGACTTATTTCCACTGGGGTTCTGACTTATTTCCATTGGGGTCCTTGACTTATTTTCACTGGGGCCCCTGACTTATTTTCACTGGGGTCCTGACTTATTTCCATTGGGGTCCTGACTTATTTCCACTGGGGTCCTGACTTATTTCCACTGGGTCCTAGACTTATTTCCATTGGGGTCCTTGACTTAATTTCATGGGGCATACTTATTTATCACTGGGGCCCTGACTTATTTCCATTGGGGTCCTGACTTATTTCCATTGGGGTCCTTGACTTATTCCCACTGGCATCCTACCAACCAGGTACCATCAGTGTAGAAAGTACAGTAACAACCTAGCATACACATTCCAGTATTTGCATCTCATTTGCATACATCAAAATACAGCCAAAACCTTCCTGCAAGTCACTTATTAAGTCTTGGGGACTCATGGTGATTTATGGGTACTAAAAATGGCAATAAAATCCCCTCCCCCATTAAGTAAATGGATGAGTTTGCTGTATTTAGGAAAAATGATGTTTTTGTAGTTTTTGGCTGAAATTTCGAAAATATGGGAAAGACAGGGTAGGAGATAGTGGTAGGGGGAGGCAGGGTAGGAGATAGTGGTTGGGAAGGCAGGGTAGGAGATAGTGATTGGGGGAGGCAGGGTAGGAGATAGTGGTAGGGGGAGGCAGGTAGGAGATAGTGGTAGGGGGAGGCAGGGTAGGAGATAGTGGTAGGGGGAGGCAGGGTAGGAGATAGTGGTAGGGGGAGGCAGGGTAGGAGATAGTGGTAGGGGAAGGCAGGGTAGGAGATAGTGGTTGGGGAAGGCAGGGTAGGAGATAGTGGTAGGGGAAGGCAGGGTAGGAGATAGTGGTAGTGGAAGGCAGGGTAGGAGATAGTGGTAGGGGAAGGCAGGGTAGAGGATAGTGGCAGGAGAAGGCAGGGTAGGAGACAGTGACAGGAGAAGGCAGGGTAGGGAAGGCAGGGTAGGAGATAGTGGCAGGAGAAGGCAGGGTAGGAGACAGTGACAGGAGAAGGCAGGGTAGGAATTAGTGTAGGGGAAGGCAGGGTAGGAGATAGTGGTAGGGGAAAGCAGGGTAGGTGACAGTGGCAGGAGAAGGCAGGGTAGGAGACAGTGACAGGAGAAGGCAGGTAGGAGACAGTGACAGGAGAAGACAGGGTAGGAGATAGTGGTAGGGAAGGCAGGGTAGGAGACAGTGACAGGAGAAGGCAGGGTAGGAGACAGTGACAGGAGAAGGCAGGGTAGGAGACAGTGACAGGAGAAGGCAGGGTAGGAGACAGTGACAGGAGAAGGCAGCATAGGAGATAGTGGTAGGGGAAGGCAGGGTAGGAGACAGTGACAGGAGAAGGCAGGGTAGGAGATAGTGGTAGGGGAAGGCAGGGTAGGAGACAGTGACAGGAGAAGGCAGGGTAGGAGACACTGGTAAGGGAAGGCAGATAAGATTCTGGAGATAGTTGAAAGACTATCACGAGAGGTTCCTTGATGCTGGTCAGGGGCTCTTGATCTAGGGGAATTGGATCTGTGCTCCAGTTCCCTGAATTAACCCTGAATACCTTCCAGCCCTGTCCTCCGCAGGTGCTGTATAATCCCTAGGGGTTTAGCTCTCCCCCACGATAATAATAATGGTGACTGTGGAGCTGTTTTGAGGAAGATGCAGAAGACGACATCAGACGACACCTCACAACGACAAGATTATCATAAGAAATAGTGTGAAGGATGCCAAGAAAGTCAACAAAAATCTAGAGAGATCTGGCTTCAGTTGGCGTCAGTGTTGATTCTTCAACTGTTCAACGAAGGCTTCTTGAAGTTGACAGAACTGCCAGAAAACCTGTGACCTGGTAGGCAAAGTTCTCGCTTCACATGCTGAGGGTCTGGGTTCAATTCCCGGCAAGGGTGGAAACATTGGGCGTTTCCTTACACCGGTTGTCCTTGTTCACCCATCAGTAAAATAGGTACCTGGGTGTTAGGTGACTGGTGTGGGTCGCATCCTGGGACAAAACTGACCTAATTTGCGGGAAATGCTCAGCATAACAAGTGGCTTTCTATATAGTAGTATGTCATTGATGTCAGCTATGATCTGTATACCTTGTACATGTACAGTGGTCCCTCGTTTTTTGCAGTTCTCGGGAATCATAGATTTTGGAAATCATAGGGATAGGGATATTTTCGTATAAACATGGGCTGGCTAATCATAGGTTGACTCGCGAATAGTAGTTCGTCCGGGACGCGTACGCACGGTGTGAGCCGGGGCGGCCTCCCTACCCAGCCAGTCTGGCATTGTTTACCAGTGAGCGAAGGTCCCCTCACGTGCTCCTACGAAATATTTCATAATATTCCACTCATTTTAGTGCTTGCAAGTACTAAATAAGCTACTATGGCTCCAAAGAAAGCTCCTAGTGCCAAGCCTGTGGTAAAGAAGGTGAGAAATACGATTGAATTTAAGAAAAACATCATTGAACAATGTGAAAGTGGTACAAGTGCGGACAAACTGTCCAGGATGTATAAGAAACCCTACACAACCATATGTTCCATCGTGGCCAAGAAAAAGGAAATCAAGGACGCTGTTGTTGCAAAGGGGGTAACTATGCTGACAAAAATGAGATCACCAGTACTGGAAGAGGTTGAGAAGTTATTATTGGTGTGGATAAACGAGAAACAATTAGCAGGAGATACTCTTATGACTTTGATTATTTGTGCATGTTGCCATGTTGGCAACATGCACAGTGACAAAGTCTTGGGCCATTTTAGGGAAGTGTTAAAGAGACGCCAGAAACAGAGCTCTCTCCACAGTTATTTTGCGAGACAAGACTCCAGTGACTCTCAAGGTGGTCCTAGTGGCATTAAGAAACAGAGAAGAGAAGCAACCCCAGAAAAGCAAATGGTACCTGAGGTGTTGATGGAAGGGGATTCCCCTTCCAAACTATAAACAATCCACTCTCTCTCCTCCTCCAGTCTCCCATACACTAAGAAGAATCTCCAATAAAGGTAAGTGTTAAGATAAGATAAGATAAGATTTCGTTCGGATTTTTAACCCCGGAGGGTTAGCCACCCAGGATAACCCAAGAAAGTCAGTGCGTCATCGAGGACTGTCTAACTTATTTCCATTGGGGTCCTGTTACAAAAAACGCGATTCTAAAAGCTTAGAGATCTCCAGCGAATACTAGAAAGGACTGCCCTTCTAGCATCCAGCCTGTTACTGGGTTTTCGTAACAAGTAGTCAGTATCCTTGTCCAATTAT